TGGCCCAGGGCCAGCTCTGGTGCCGCGGGTTTGCGCTGCTGGCGGCTCGCTGTGCCACCGCAGGGCTCTCCCACAGGAGTCCCTGCTGACAACTTGTTGGATGACTCTCTCCAGGAAAGACAGCTTTTATGCGTTGTTCTGGCATCCTGCCACCTCTCCCTGGTTGGGGTATATTTTATACCACTGCCAAGACAGAGGGTCCAGGAGGACGGGACGGGAATGCTTCCCTCAGTTCACTAACTGGAGCAAATCACTTATGAGGAAGCAATTTCAGTTTCACAGCCTGGCTAGATTCCAAACTAGGATGGGTCTTTCAGTCACAATAAACTAAACCCAGAGTTGGCCTCTAAAAGATCCCTGACAGCCCTGGAGGACACCAGGTTGGACACCAGGCCTGTGGAACAGGGCACACCTGTGTGCCTTCCTGCAGACAGAAAAGGATCTTCCCCAATGGAGGCATCGGCTACACCTACCAGCAGCCAACTGTGAGATCAGTAACAAAATCCCCATTTCATATACCCATGAGCGGCAAATCAAAGCCAAATTACATAAAAGCACAAATTGGTGTGGATTGCTGCTGCTACTAATTTCAAATTTTTGACCTGTATGCATTTCAGCTGAAGGAATACTAAGAGAGAAACATTTTAAATGTATTTTAAAATAGGAAAATTTCTGGTTTGAAAATTATTACAAAGTTATGAATTTCAGAGAAAGAGTTGTAGTGAAAATTTGGAGGAAATATGGTTGTAATGTGTCTAGCAGTGACGTTCACCAGGGTCTGACCCCCACAAAACTCTCGCTTTCTTTATTGTTTCCCTGGATTTCACAAATCTAAATGGTATCTTGTTTTGGAAAAAGAATCTGGACCTTGACTTCCATTCCCAACACCATCCCACAGTTACCCCATTCATGCCATCTGGTATTTGATCAATATACATGGCTGCAGGAGTATTTTACATTTGAGCTCTGTTACATTTTTCATGTGATGGTCCATTGCACCTGGGGCTTGGCCTTATGCTGAGCTAGACAAAAACAAATTAGAAGTTTCTTCTGTAGAATGCGCTGCCTTGTTATTTCTGTAGCATCTCATATGCCTGAGGCGAGCAGGATTAGTGGAGGATTACTGTGCATGCGCGCATAGCTTAGAAAGCTGCTTTGATTACAAAGCCCAAAAAAAGGATATTAAATTTTTATTACAAAAATATTTGGTTTACTTCATTCCTCTTCTAACAGCAGCCAAAATTCCAAGCATTCTCTCGCTCTGTGGTCACACTCAGTTCCAAGCAGGGGGAGGAAGTGAATTTCTGGTGTTGTTTTCCTCCCAGAGATGACAGCCTGGAGCTTTGCCTCACGCTGTTTCCCAGGTCAGCTGCTGAGAGCAGGGCCTGGGCGAGCCGAGCTCCAGAGCAGGGCCTGGGCAAGCTGAGCTCAGCCATCCTGCCAACCAGGCACGAGGAGCAGGGCCTGGAGGAGCAGGGCCTGGACAATCCAAGCTCAGCCATCCTGCCAAACAGGCAATGTAACTCCTTTGTTGTTATTTACATCTCCAGGGTTTCACTGAGCTCCATTCCCTTCCTGCTTTTCCACCAAGCATTGGAACAGCCAGGCAGTTCCTCACTCCTATGATTTACCATTTGTCTGTGCATTTTTTCCTTTTGTTGCCTATAGCAACTTGGTTTCTATATGGTCTCAAGGACAAATGTCTGAGCCATGTAAAGCTTGGCTTATACATCACCTGTGCTAATGGCAGCTTTTTTAACCACGCATCCATTTCCCAAACTGCCTGCTTCCCTCACAGGGGACAGCAAACCAGCTCCAGCATCTCCTGGGTTTGGAGACTTCCCCTATCCCGAATCAGATCTGTGTGTGCCTCACAGGCAGAAGCAACTCCTTCGTCGACTTAAAACACATAAATCAGGGTCTAGTCCCGGAGGCCGGCCGGGGCAGCGCCGCCAGAGCGCAGCGGAACAGCCGCGGGGCCTGCGGGGTTTGCGGGGCCTGCGGGGTCTGCGCAGCCGGCCACGTTTGCGGCACCTGCGGGGACTGCAGGGCCTCCGGGCCCGCCCGTCCCCATGGCAACGCCCCTCCCCGGCGCCGCAGAGCGTGCCGCCCCTTCCCCGCTGTCCAATCGCCGCCATTGGGGGCGGGAACCAAGGCTTCTATTGGACAGTTTTTACGTTAATCAACGCCTGCGGAACCCGCGGGATCGTGAGGCCTTCCGCGTGCGCAGGGGGCACCGCCCCCGCCCTTGCCGAGCGTTGATTGGTCGCTGCGGGGGCGGGGCTTACCCTCACCCGCCTCGGGGTTGGACGAGAGCCCCGTCAGTCGGGGGCGGGGCTGGGGGCGGGGCTGGGGGGCGGGGTTGGCGGGCTGTTCGAACGGCGCTGCCGCTGCTGGTGGCGCTCGGCTCGGGCTGCGGGCGCTGTGCCCCTGCTGTGCCCCCGGGCAGCCCAACACAACACGGCCCGGCCCGGCCTCCCTCCTCTCCAGAGTGCCCAGGGAGCAGGCAAGGCTCCCTTCCCGGCGGGACAAGCCGCGCTGCTACCGCCGGCTCCTCCGCCGCCGCTCCGCGACAGACAATGGACGAGCAGGGTCCTGGGGAAACGTGGCCCCGCCACGCTACGGAGCAGGTTAGTGCCTGGGAGGTCCTGCCGGCCGGGCAGGGCCCTGAGCGCTCTGAAGGGACACGGAACGGGCTGAGGGACAGAGCCCCGCTGCGCACGGGCACGGCGGTCACTCCATTGACCCCTGGGGACGGGCACGGCGGTCACTCCATTGACCCCTGGGGACGGACACAGCGGTCACTCCATTGACCCCTGGGTGCCAAACTTTCCACTGGCAGGTTCCCAGAGGTGGCTACAGAGTCATCAGGGAACATCGTCGGGTCTGATTCCTTGCTGAAAAGCGTGCTCAAATGCATCTCTGTCGTTTCTGACAAACTACACCAAACCTGTTGTTCAAAACCTCCAGGGGTGGAGATTTACAGTGAAACACTGAGCGGCAGGAGCTGAAGTGCTCAGTGAGCCGGGTTCCTCCTTGTGTTGGTCCTGTTTGACCTCCTTAATTTAAAACCTTAGTTGATCTCCACATCACTGGTGAGATAAAGAAACAGAAGGTTGCTTTTATTGAATCAAGATGTAGGGCGGGGGGGAAGAGAGGAACAGCTCTTCTATGCTGCCACAGTGTTTATTGCACAGAATGTAGTGTAGGTCAACAAGAAATTAGTTGCTGTTGCAAAATGCAGGGGGCTTAGTTGATATACTTTGGGTAACCTAAAAAATCGCCTGTTCGTTTAAAAAATCCCAAACGTATGCTTGAATGTTTATTTGCTCTCTTGACTGCAATAACCGAGAAGGAACAACTCTGAGCTCTCCTGGTGTGTGATAGTGAGCAACCATTCCCTGATAACCATGAAGTTCTGCCTCTGACCAGGTTGTGGTCTGGGTTATTAGCTGGATCATGCGGCACAGTCCTGGTTTTTGGAGGGTGACCTCTCTGTGTCTGACCATAGGTTTAACAATGAATGCTGGGGAGATATAAGCACCATTGGTTTTGTGGTGTTGTGACTGAGACCATGACATCTTCTGGAGCATGAATTGTCCTGTTTGAGTTGAATTTGTGTATGCTTATAATAATTGTCTTTAAGAAAAAAATTAACTTTGATTTTTAAATTTTAGATGAGACTGAGAAAACTTACAGCAACATCTCATAACTGGAAGTCAGAGGCACAGAGCTGCTTCTGAGCATGTAAGAGATGAGCAGCCCTTCAAACTTTTCTTATCTGAAGTTAATTTCACTCCCGATTTTGATTTTAGAACCTCAGGGTTTTTTTCTGCCTGCTTTTTCTAGTCAGTTTTCCTGTCTTTGATTTATAGTTTTACCTTGTGTTTTATTGGGAGTTGTTTTTTTCATTTGTTTGTACTGATGGCTTCACACTTCCAGAAGCAGCTGAGATCTTGCTACTATCCAGAAGTATTTTGAAGAGTGAAATACAGCTCTTTTGCTGCTGCCATTGCTCAGTTAACAGTGATGATTAAATATTCTCTTGCCCTTGACAGGAAAAGCCTTGAATGTGGGTTGATGGAAATCATTCCCTTTCCTGTTGATATTTGTACCTAAAATCAGGCTGTAAAGTGCTGAATGCATACAGAAAGCCCATGCTGGTCTTCCATTCAAGCAGAGCAAATGCAATCACCAGTGCTCTCACCCTTTGAAGGGCTGGAGCACTTAAGAGGAACTAGATGATTTGTAGATGGATTCTGCCCCAGACACCAGTGTTAGGAAAGGGCAGGTGGCACTTCATCCCATTTCTGAAAATGAAACCCATTCTGTTCAATATAACCCCCTCCAGTTCCTCCGTCAGCACTGTTGTAGGGTAAGTGTGATCACTGGTGAAGAAAAGAAAGAGCCAGAATATTTGTTGTGTTTATGAGAGGCATTTTTTGAGAAAACATGTGGGGAAAAAGCTCTGGTGAAAGTGGTGAGAAGTTTGACTTAATTTTTTGAGGTCACTTGACTTGTGGGTATTTGGGTGCAGCAGAGAATGGAAGAAACTCTGCCTTAGGAAAGGGAGAAAACCCAGTGGCTATCTTTTGGCCAGTGGTGCTGATTTTCCAGTAAGCTCTGTGCTGCACGGAGGTGTAGAACCCTAATGGTTTGTTGTATGCCATTAAAAGGTATTGTACACTCATAAAAGAATGACATTTTGATCAATGCTGTTAAAAGAATTACTGTCTTGACACAGAAAAGCTTTCCTGCTGCAAGTTTAAAAATATGCCTTTAAAAGCTTTTTATTGAATACCTTTGCATCCCTCAGAAATGTGCTATTTTGGCACAGGGCTGCTCTGAAGTGACTCCACATTGTAACCTGAATGCAAGACCTCGTGTTTACCATCAGCGGGGCGCGAGGTGAGGCAGGTGTGTTCACTTACCTACTGTCATGGGGACAAAGGAAAAGCACCTGGAGCTGCTTGTGTGCAGCTAAAAATACAACCCCTCCTTTCTAGAGTCCCAAATCACTTGAAAGCTATTTGTTTGTTTTGACATTGATTCCTCTCTGTCCCTCCAGCTTTCTTTTGCGTGTCCCTTTGGAGTTTGAAGCTATGCATTGATGTTGGAAGGTGGCAGGTAGGGGAACCACAAACCTCTGCACTGCAGCTGGGCCCTGGCTCATGGGCAGGGGGCTCTGCTGGGAGAAACTGGGCTTGGAGGTGTCTGAGGTGGTCCTGTGGTGTAGCACTTGTTGTGGCAGAAATCTCCCCTCAGTGTGCTTCAAAGATCTTGTGCCAGAGCTCGTGATTGATCCCGGCTGCTGGAGGAGTGTTGTACCTGGCGTGATGGTGGCCAGAATCACGGGTGACAGGTGCTGCCAGGTGGGGACTTGGGAACCCCAGGCAGGGAACTGGGAGCTAGGGCTGGAATTCGTCAGCTCTGACACGCTCCTGTGTGCTCCTGCACTTCCTATTATGTTTCTTGAGCTTTTGTGTTTCAGGCTTTCAGTTGTTCAGCTGCATGTGATGTTCCAAATTCAATTTTATAGGAAGGTGGAGGGATAAATTGAAAGAGCCAAGAATGGTGACGTGAGTTTTGATGTAAAGCCATCCAGGATAAGTTGTCCTCTTGGCTTTTTCTTCCTCCTGTCTATATACTCGTGAGCAGACCAAAGCAGCAGATGTTCTGGGTGCAGTTGGCATGGCCATGCCCTGCCATGGCACTGTCACCTGCTGGGGCATTGCAGAATGCTTGCCAAGAGGTTTTGTACTTCCGGACCTCAGCTGAAAAAAGCTGTGACGTGCAGCAGTGGGATTTAATTGCTGAAGAAAGCAAGATGTTTCATTTCACTGTGTGTGAGTAGCTCCCTTTAAGGCCATAAATATTAATGCTCTGCATATTCTGCAAAGACAAGGTATGAAAGGAAGAAGCAGGAGAGCTTGAATGCTTGTGTTTGGCTCAGAGAACTGGAGTAGGATTGGCATCTGTCTCTCTTGCTTCCTGTCTCAGATACCTGAGTTTTGTCCCTTTTGACCTTCAAGAAAGGCATGAGACGCCCAAATACTTCCTTACTTCTGTTTCAATCAAACTTTTGGCAGCTTTCTAGGGGAGTGGTTGGTTTGGGGTTTTTTTAATTGTGAGTTTCTGTCACCAGCTGCTATCAACTGTTATCTGAAGCCTCACTTGTGTAGTTTTGGCTTTGGAGGAAATATGAAAGCAAAATTATCTCCATGGTCCTATTTACCTACAGCATCTCCCTTGAAGCTCCCTACAAATGTTTTTCTACAGTGACCTTTCAGAGTACCTGCTTTCAAGAGAGGCTGCCAGCCTGGAAGTGGGGCTTAGGCATGTTTTCTTACATTTAGCTATATTAAAAATGGGGATCTTTGTTCCAGTCTTCTTTGTCTGGCAAACTAAATTGCTTTCTACCACTGATCCCTGTTTTCATTGCTCTAATCTGTAAATTTGTTCAGTAATCATCTTGTGCCTTTTTTTTTCAGAGCATAGACAAAACTGCTGCATAACACAGGGTCAAGCTCTTGAGGGTGGGATAAAAGAAACTGTTCTCTTTTGTGTTGATATTTAATTGCTATAAGCTGGAAACATTTATTTAGTATTTGGCCTTATCTGCAATTACATTCTGAGGCCTATCAGTCTCTAGCCCACTTGATGTGTCATGTTGATTTTGATTTTCTTAATCAAATGTCATTTTGCATCAAGTCAACTGTCACACAAAACCTGCTATATCTGTGCTATTAATTAGCAATAAGCATTTAATTAAAAACCACACTAGTGTAAGAATATGTTTTCTGAAAATTCACGTCACTAATGCTATATTACCCTCTCTTTTTTTTTTTTTTTCTAGCTAGAGTCTTGTATTGGCCATTCTCTTGCTTTGCCCTCAGTGTCACACAGACAAGACTGTAGCTACTCATGTCACCAAATCTGAAAAAAACCCAAACAAACCAACACAACACTGCCCCAACAAAACCACCCCCCGGTTATTGTTTCTCTCTGTCCTCTCAAATAGCCTGTTTTCCAAAGAATACTCAAAATCAGCACTAATGGTTCAGCTTCTCAGACAAGTTCTTTCTTCTAATCACCATGGAAATCGAAACCTAGATCTTAGCTCTTCCCCATCTCACTTACATCTTGAGTGAGTGGCTGGAGGTAACTGTCCTAGCAGAGTCCTTGTCTTCCTGTGGGACTTGCAGGAATCTGTTCTGGAGGTTCTGGAGGTCCCCTGCCTAAGCAGCCACAACAGCAGCACTAGAGCTGATGTGACTTGTCGCTGGTTTGGGCAGCTGGGCTCACATGGATGTCAGACATCCATGATGTACTGATGGACTAAATCTCTTCCTGTTATTATTTCAGGTGAATTACGTGGCTTTGGTTTGGAATCGATTAAAATTTGATGTTAATCTTTGCAGCTGTGAAGTAGAGAAATTCAACAATCTTTTACACCTAACCCAAATCCTAGAACTTGATTCCAGTGGGGCAGTATGGTCACCAAGGCATCCAGCACAGGTGCCAGGTGTGTGATTGATCAGAGCTCCTGCATGTTGGATGGACTGAGCTGCTCTAAGATCTGTGGGTGCAGATCTTTGGGCAGCACAGACAGGGAGTCCATTTTTTAATATAATGACCTTCAAAATCAAACCTCTGTGCTGTCTCAGTTTTTGGCTGACTTCCTGTGGCCATGTGGACAAATCAGGTCAGTTTGCTCACTTGATGTGCATAGACAAATATGAGGATTATGAAATGAGAGCAATAACAGAAGGGTGTGTATTACAGTGAGAGGAATAAAGGGTAGCTTCGAGGAAAGTGGTGCCCTTTTGTGGAAATATTTATGAAAAAAAATGATAACTGGAAAATAAGATGGGTGATACCTGTGGAATGTCTTGGGAATAAACAGATCAATAAAATCAGAAAGATGAGATGAGGAAGGTGTGTTTTGTTACTTACTGGAGTCATGAGAAACACTTTTGTACTTGTGCAAAGGGCATGTTCTGAATTCTGGAAGGTATGTTGTACCGAAGTTTTGGGGAGTAAATCAGCTGGTAGCTCAAAGTGAGGTTTGTTTAAGCCTGGAACTTGGGTTGCAGTTTATTTTCTTGTTCTGGCCTCGCTGGAGGAACAGTGTGCGCGGAGCTGGGGGAGTAACTCACGTACTGAAAAGAGCTGTGGCTCGTTCTGCTCTCCTCGTGTTTTAGCAGGGCAGTTTGCAGGATATTTTCTTTGTTTTCTTTGTAGCTCTAGTGTTTGGGCTACAGGGATTTAAAATATTTCAGAGAAAAAATAGCTTCAAATTCAGCTCTGAGTCTGATATTTGTTTTATTAGTGGAAATCTTTGTCTCATGTGTTTTCCCAGTTCTAGATAACCTTTTCTTGTCATCTAAGAAATTAATTTCTTTGTTGGACTCATTGCAAGTAAACTTGATAGCAGGATTGCTGTTATTGAGGCAGCTTACACAGTGATTTGCTAAGTACAGCCTCTTCATATAATGTGAAGCAGAAGTCGATTTATTGACCACCACTGGGATTTCAGGAACTGTTGAACTACCTGGGTTTTATCCTTCTCTCATAAAATTTGCTATTAAATGTCTTTTTTTCTGTTACCCTCTTGAAAAGGGTTCTCTTTGAAATGCAATGGTACAAGAGCAGCAATCCTACTCGTTTCTGTGCTGTAGAGTTTGGCTTTTTAATGAAGCGTCTACAGGGTCATGTAAAGTGTCCTGACATCAGATTCTTGAAGGTTTTTGTAAAATACTGTCCTATGCCAGGAGGACACTGGTGCTTCTCAGCTGTGACAGCTGGCTCTGTGACTGTGGTGCCAGCCCTTGGCATAGAGCACATCCCAGGGAGAGCAGAACACTGCAGAAAGACCCGCTCTGCTCTTAGCACTGTGCTTGCTGCAGTACATGTCCCCTGTCAAATATCATCTGCTGCTTCTCTGGAAGGCTAAGGAATTAATAAATATATAATGTTATTCGTTTGTGCTATTTGCTGTATATTCATAGTAGTTTTTTTCTACTTTCTGCAAGCTCTTCTCCAAGATATACGTTAGGAAGGAAAACTGTTGTCTCTGGTAATCTGCAAAAACAGCTTTAAAAATAGAATCCAACTGTACCAAGTGGATATTGATTCTTGGGGATGTGGAGAGAATGCTTTCTGTGAACTCTTCCTCATTGCTCCAGAGTCCATACCAGTGTCTGGAGGCTTTGGGGGTGATGTTTTTGGATTTACAGACAGAGAAATCATCTCTAGCTAGTCTGGATTTCTGACAACTCTTCCCAGGCACTGCTGCAGACGGGCTGTCAGAGCTGGGGTACCTGGGGCTGCAGGACCTGGACATTCACAGGCCGTGGTACGTGCTGGGAAAGGTCTCAGATCTTGGTGTGTTTCTGCTCTGTGGGATGGTGCCATGCCGTGTTATGTGTGACCAGAGCACAGCACTGCTTGGGACTGTCCGAGTCCCACAGACTACCACAGGCACTAAAAGGGAGCAGGGAAATGGGGGCACAAGAGAGCAGCTTGGAGCCTTAGATTTTTTTTTTTTTTGTTTGTTTAGATTTGTTTGTGCCACGCTGTTACTTGTGATCTGTGTTAATCTCAGGTATCTGGTCTCACCTTTTGCATCTCCTATCTGAGAAAATGTTTGTTTTTTGTCCTCCCTCTCCTTCCTTTTCAGTCATATTTTGCCTGACCAGCAGTTGCCCAGAGAGGAACCTGAGCCCAAAATTGGTGAGCAAGCAAGGATCTGCTGTACATCCATGGTTCAGGCACCACCATGCAGCTTCTCCTCTCTGTCTTTAATTAAACTTGGGTTTTCTGTTGTTGTAGCTGGAAGCAGCGTGCTGACACAACTCATTCTTGTATCAGATTAAAATGTCAATGTTTTAATGTTCTCATCTGTGGGAAAAAGAAAGTAGTTGGGTGTTTTATTTATGACTTAAAAAGATGCTGTGGGAAAGGTTCCCTTGTGCAAGATGGAAAATGACAACTAAAGGTACAGAGTTTCATTTCATATTAAGAGTCTTTAAAAGACTGAAAATAGTGAAAAGATTAAATCTTTTAAGGAAATAGGCTATACTGGGGCATGGCAGTTTTAAACAATTATAAATTTACTGTATTTTTAATTATTCACTCTGGTTTTTCTTGCATTTGTGGCATGGTGTGCACACATCCTGATGAGCTCATCTACCAAACCAGTGCTCTGTGTGAGAAGGAAAAGAATTAAGGTGTCTGAAAAAGAGTGGTCAGAAGTCAGTGTTGTCCTCCATGCCAAGTGACTTCCTTCTGGGAGAAGGGAAGAGGATTTTCTAGGGAGAAATGTAATATTACCTTTGTGACCGATTCCATGCATGGTTTGCTCCCAGGCAGTTTGAGGAGTGGCAGTGGCACTGGCTGGGAGCTGTTGGTTGCAGGTGCCCTGTGCAGGCGCCTGTGTGAGCAGGGTGGCCAGGTGAATGCAGGAGGCTGCTGGGCAGGGCCCAGCCAACAGCTGGGATTGTCTGCTTGGGGTTAATGCAGCTCTTCTTCACAAAGTGTCTCCCACACCTTATTTAGAGATTTGCCTGATTTAGGCTGTCCTCTGGGTTACCATCTGTGGAATCTGTTTCTGGGCAGCCGTGTCTCCCCTGCATGTACATTACACACGCTCACCAATGCCCTTTTGGGTTATGCTTTTCCTGGACTGGGGGAAGAAATAATCCATTGTAAAGAAGGGAACAGGAAAGAGCTCCCACTGAACACTGATGCTGGAAGAAGAGTGCTGAGTGTCTTTTCATTTCACTTTCTTTCTCTCTCACACTTACTTATGTCACCCCATCTCGTACAGCCCGGCTGCTGGGGGATCAATTTGTTGGCAGGGCTTATTCAAACATCAGCAGAATGCATGTTCTTAGTGTTCTGCTTGGAACTGGGTGCTGGAGCCAACACAAACAGCTCTGGTGTGGGAACCAACATTGGGTGTTTGAGTCAGGCTGTTCTTGGTGGTCTGTCCTTCCTGCAGTAAAAATGTCAGCAGTTTCTTTTCCCATAGTGTTCAGTTATGTTCCTGTTGTTTAGTGTTTATACAATCACTGTGCCTGTGGACAGTTCAAATAAAATTTTTGAATAAATCCTGTGGTTTTCTTCACTTTCAGCTTTTGTTTTCTGTAGGTTTTGGGGGTTTTCCACTCTATGGCTTCATTTTTTTTTTTTTTGTCATCTTTCCCATTGTGCCGAGTGCAGATGGTGCTGCACTCAGCTTTTTCCTCCCTTCAAGGACATCAGACACCACTGAAGCTTTGGTGGTGTGCTTTGTAACACCCTTCCAAGTACTCAGGAACCACCAGTGTTCCTTACTGGCTGTGCAATTGTTGCTCCAGTGAAAGTCCAGGGTGCAGGATGCTTGTGGGAGTTGGATGGTTTGAAGATGTCTGTAATTCTTTCTGTTACCCTTAGGGCATGCTGAAAAATTACCGCTTTGTAGAGTCTTTGGGAGATGATGCAGTCCCAGATCAGACACTTCTCTATTAAATAAAAAGTATGATAAGCCTAAAAGCATTGAATTCACTATTTTGAATCTCTAAAGGCCAATCCCAGTGTGTATCTATTTGGACTAATTTACTGAACTATTTAGTTTCTCCTCCTGCATAACAACCATTCCATCCCCAGCCATTACCAAGTCAGCTCTGCCTCTGTGGCTGCCAGGAATAACTTTACTTTGCATGGATAATTAACTGGATTGAGTAACAGCAAAAAAACATTATTTCCACATAGTGGTAATAATAAATCTGTTACTACTTTTGGCTCTCCATGTTATTGCCATATTTGGGTATGTCTTAATGAGGAAGTGGCTTCCTTTGACTGAGCTCAAATACCAGCACAGAGCCTGCCTCCAGCACTGGGCTGGGCTGCTGAGAGGAGGGCAGAGGGGGCGTTCAACCAGGCAGCATTCCTGCCACAAATAACTCACTCTTTTTTTTTTTTTTTTTTTTGGTTTTGGTTTTTTTCAAACCAAAATCATCCTTTCCTGTGAGGACATTTGGAGCATCCCACTCTGTTTTTCAAAATGCATAAAATATGGGGATGGGACCTACTGAGCTCCCCACGGGAATTCTCTTGAGGGACAGATATAAAGTTACAAGCAGCTCCTGAGCACAATAAGTTTCGGTCTCATAACAGCTTATCTGATACTCTCACAACCTTTTCTAGAATCATCCTGCTCCTTTTGCTGTTCATTTTCACGCCCTGTTTGGTGTCATGATCTGGAGCCTTGTTGTGCACAGCCTGGGGAGGAATGAACGTGCTTCCTGCAGAGATGCTCCGAGCTGCCGGGGCAGTGCGAGTGTGGTGCCAACCATTGACAGCTCGAGTCAGTGCCTGCAGCTCCCGTGTGCCTTGTGCTGCCGTGTGGTGACAACACACCCAACCACAATTCCTCCTCCGTGTCCCCATGGTGGGAGCTGCACGCCTTGAGAAGGGTCAGTGACCCAAAGATCAGTTCAAGGATGTCACAACAGGAGCACAATGGAAAGCTGAAGGCTTCTGGGAAGGAGAGGGCAAACTTAATTGGTGGTAGAGAAAATAAAGGGAGGTGTTTGTTGGCTTGTGCCCATTTACATTTCCTTCTGTCAGTCTCACCTCTGTCCCACTGCTTAATTCACTCTATATCTAATCCATATCTGCTGTTCCTTCTCCATCATCCTCTCACCATGTCAGCCTCCTGCCTCTAACCACTGCCCTGTGCAGGCAGCTCCTGCAAAAAACAAAATGCAAAAATTAATTTAGTTATTGATAACAACTAAGTGGAGTTTGTTAAAGAGGGGAGGAATATATAACCTTAGAGTTAAAGCTGCAGAAATTTGATGGTTGTAAAACCAATCACTGAATTTAGAAAAGACAAAAAGAAACAGCTCAAGAAAAGCATTTAAGCAGTTCTTGGTGAAAAGTACTCTCTGCCGAAAATAACTTCACTTTATTAAATTGCTCATGTGGTGGGAGGAAAAAAAAAGTCAAAAAAATAAGAACTTAGAGGAATTTTTTTTCCTGTGTTTTCAGCATTGATCTGGCTGTATGACTTCAAAACCTACAAAACTGCAAAAATGGTGAACCTAAACAAAACCCAGCAGTAGAGAGTCCTTTTCCTTTCTGAAGGAGTCCTCTCTCCTTTCCTATTTATCCATTTACTTGATTTCCAAGTGGACACAGCGTGGTGTCACTGATGTTCAGTGTCCTAAATATGGTAACTGGTGTGCCAGATTTCGATGTTTACCTGCCCATCTTTGGAGTTCAGATCTGGGGCTCCTTAGGAGTAGGCAGAGCCACCACAGCCCCGGGGATGTGGTGGAGTCTCGTCACTGGGAGGTTTCAAGATGCTTCTGCACAGTCAGAGCAATAGCCAGGGTGTTTAGAGGCTGGAAAGCTCTGGAAGCATGCTCGTGGGAAGTGGGAGAGGTAAAGGACGGCATTCTTATGGCTGGAATCTGTTTGTTTTCTCTTCTCCATGGCAAAGGAAGTCAGGGCTCTGGGCTTTTGGAACCACAGGAGTGATGGTTTTGACCAGTGCTGCTGGTGACCTGGGGGCTGAGCACAGCTGCTGGCACTCAGGCTCCCATTGCCACTGCACTGTTGATGGGCTTCTCAGGCAGTTTTTCTTATTAAATGAGTTGACTGTTTTCAAATGCTGTTCCAGCTGTAGTCTTGAATTAATGAATTTGGGAGCATGGATACTGCATGTTAAGGTGTGTGAGCTTATGTTCCTTATTGCTTGGTGCAGCTGAGGATGCATCATGCCATTAAAAATACTTGTTTAGATTACTTTTCTGTATTAATTCTGAGGCCTGCAATAGACCTGATGTAAATGTAAGTGGCCATGTGGCTTCCTCATCCTGTCTGCTTTGCCAAAGTATAAGCATGAATGGAGCACTGATCTGTTCTCTGGTACCAAATTTAGGATAAAGTAGAACTGGGAGATCAATCATTTGGTTTTGCCTTCATTGAATCAAGATGTACCTCTGAGTTAGCTGGCCCTAAAAGTACCTTGAGTGGTAGTGAGTCCATGCTAATGCTGCTGCTCTGCAGACTGGGCTCCAGACAACTTTAGGGCTGGTGTTCCTTCTCTAAATCTTTTTCTTAATTGCTTTTCTCTGCAGAGGAATTCCAGCTGAGCACATGCTGTCATGTCACTGGCAGAGAATTAGTGGGGGCCTGACTGCTGCCCTACAAATATATGATATGCTCAAGCCCAGCAGTGAGATGCCTGCGAGACACCTCTGTGGTCAGCACCCTCCAGACCTCTGCTCTTCAAAAATCAGCCAACTCAAAACAAATCACTTGACTGATTTGTATAGACCCTTCTGAAACAAAGACCAGCTTTTTGGAACAATGGTTGGTTAGGCTGCTTGGAAAATACTGAGCATCTTCAATATCCCTGGAATATAGTGTACCTTGTTCTCAGCAGGGAGAGTCACAAACTGAAGTTGATTGCAGAAATACCAGTTTTCTTTGAGTCTAGGAGACAGATGTGCACATGGGAGAGAAGCCATGGTGCTGTGCGCAGGTGTGGAGCTCAGCTCAGCTCAGCTGGCATTGGCGTGCCAGGTGTCAGGAAGCAGAGAGAGCCAGGCAGCTCAGGCTGTGGGGACCTGCCCTGATTTCAGAAACACCCCAGGTGCCTCAGGACACCATCCACGTGTTGGCGGCACTGAATCCCAGCACTGGAACCTTCCAGCGCTCAGCAGAGGAGGGAGGAACAGTACTCCAATACTGGCAATATCAAAGGCCAACAATTCCCATTACTTTTTTATCCTGATGAGATGCAGGCTGTGGAGGCCAGCGATGCTGGCTGTGTGTCTGTCCAGGGCTGCGTGGCCCTGCTGGCATCAGTGTGGCACTGTGACCTCCTGCTGGCATCGGTGTGGCACTGTGACTCCTGCTGGCATCCCTGTAGCACTGTGACCTCCTGCTGGCATCAGTGTGGCACTGTGACCTCCTGCTGGCATCGGTGTGGCACCGTGACCTCCTGCTGGCATCAGTGTGGCACCGTGACCTCCTGCTGGCAGCCCTGTGGCACTGTGACCTCCTGCTGGCATCGGTGTGGCACTGTGACCTCCTGCTGGCATCGGTGTGGCACTGTGACCTCCTGCTCTCACTGGGACAGCAGTGGGCACAGTCCCTCACCCTGACCCTGGCCAGCTACCTGGTGTTCCCTGGTGTCCTCTTGCCGGGCTTTAGTATGCAGGTGTGGCACAAATTTGTTTGTGTAGGTTTTGGGCTGTTCTCCCTGGCTGAAACAGAGCTCAAGAAAGAAGATGAAGTGTTGATCACAGCTCTTTCCTTGGCTACAATCCTCTCAAATGGCTGCAGTGGTGCATCGTTGCTGACTTTAATTATGTAGTTTGAATGAAAATGAGAAGGAAGCAGTTTGCCTTGGGCCCACGCATACCTGGCATGCTTCATCACAGCCTGACAAATATCCCTTAACCCAGGCTCTAGCTTGTATTTTATTGCTTATTTTTAAAAATCCAGCCCAGGGAATTGTGGTGTTTTTAAGGGGAGGGGTGTGACCTGCAAATATTTGATTGATTCTGTTCCTGTCCCACAGTTCTATGTAAAATTTATTTACTGGTTTTCCTTTTAAACCATTAGCTGACCTTCCATACGGATCCCAGCTGTGCATTAGCATTGCTTGGGGATGTGTTTGTATCTTTTGTCTAAAAATACCCAGCCGGTAGGATCCATGATCCATGAAAGCTAATTGAAACAATTTCTCTTCAAGTTTTGGCAAGTGAACCATGCATTATAAGCATTAATATCTATAAATTGAATTGTTAATGAATCTAGACACTAATAATGAATGCAATTTTGTAGGCTTAACTAGAAACACTAAAATTATCAGGATCTGAAACAGAATTTTCAATCATTTTTGCTTATTAAATAGAAAAACTATGCTTTTAATAAGCTAATCATTTTTATTTGACCCCATAGGAGTAGCTCAGCTGATTAGAAACAGGTTTCAAAGTGCAAAACAATGTTGTTTTTCTCTCTGTGTTTTAACTACCACAGTGCTGATCGGATCAGATACTGATCTCCATTGCTTATCCTGCAATTCCTCTAAAAGAATTTGCAGCAGAACCTCTCTATGTCCCATTGAACAGGAGAATTCTCTGCACAGATAAATCATGCTGTAAGCTGCCAGAACAACTGGAGCTTGCTTGAAAGATTGTCAGTACAAAAAAATACAAATATGAGAGATTCTTATTTGGTCTTTGTTATACCCAGAAGTAGAAAAGCACTTGATACAACTCAAAACTCAAGACCAAAGCTAATAAACAGGAGTCTTTTTCTCCCCCAGTTTAAAACTAGCCTTTAGGATTTTATGCAGCTGAAGAATATGGTAAGATTCAGAGTTGTAATAAAAAGTAAATCTTAGGTTCTGATGGTTTCCTTTAAAACAGTTTTGTGAAGTTTGCCATTCTTCCTGACACCAGTGGCTGGAGACTAGGAGGGCACAAGGAGATTATTCTGCAAGTCCCTCAGGCAAAGCTGCTTCTCCCCACGCTGTTTCTGGCAACCCTGGCAGACCAGCTGTCAGCTTTCATGGAGCACTGGTGTCCCTTAGACAAGCAATTGCTTTTTCCAAAAGACTGAGGAGTGTTCTGTTTCTTCTGTGAAAAGTCCATATTCTGCAATAATTCTATTAGAATTATCTTTAATAATTGATATTCGAAGTCATCCTTTGATGGCTGGTGTGTTTGGTTTTATTCTTTGCTGTCTTCTGCTTTCAAAGATTCCTTTTCCCAAACCAAGAGTAAAAAACAAGGGAAAAAAAAAAAAAGAAGTTTTCTCAGTGCTGCTGTCTATTGACATTCAGCAGAAAAACTGCCCTGGAGTTAATTCCTCCTCTAAAGTAAACTACTTCAGTCAGTGCTGTTAGCATGGAGGATATTGGCATTCCTGTTTACTGAACAGGAGTCTTCCAGGATCCTTGCTTTTTTAGTGAATTTAGAATATGTACATTTTCAATAAATGTAACAAATAATCCAGGCAAACCTAGGAGCCTACTAGTGAGTCATATGCAAACTGAACCAAAAATACTTAATTCTGGAGTAAACATTTATGAAGTGTCTGTGCCACCCTTTGCAAAGGGATAAAGTGGCCAGTCAGTGCTACAATGTGCCAGGCCAGATAAAGTGTTACAATGTGCATCTAGGAAAGAGCTGAAATAATATTTTTTTGTAAATAATACTTTTTTGTAAATAATACTTTTTTGTACTTTTTTTACTTTAAATGTAAAATAGTGTAAATAATAATGTAAATCAGGTGATGGGTTAAAGCCTTGCAATCTCTTTCTTTCACTTGAATGCCAGTCGTGTCAGGTGCCCACCCTCCTCCTCCTCCAGAAAATAAGTTTCTGTCCCTCAGGCTCTGCTCGGGCTGCAGCCACTGCACTGACACAGGTGAGAGCTGGAGAACTCTGCTTCATCAGCTTGAGATGCAATTTTTTCAGCTCTAAGAACCCAACCACACAGGGTATCTCCAACAAGTACTAGAGAAGGGGGACTTTACCTGAGTTGGTTTTGCCTGCCCTCTATAAACAGAAAAATCAATGGTCTTTGTTCTTTTATTGAGGAAAAAAAAGTACTTTTTTCCCACGTGGGAGGGCTAATGGGATACTCTGGTGTGCAGCACCATTTCAGCAGCGAGGGAGGTGTCCCTACTTGATCTCTGCTAATGAAAGTCTTCAACCAGCTGTTC